TCTTAAACATCCAGAGAACAGGGAATGTGCTGACTGCAAAACAAAGTATGGTTTTGTACCAGATGTGAATTATCAGCATTATTATGCTGGTTTCATTTATATTTTTGCTAATACTATTCCATTTGCTTTGCAGAGGTCCAAGATGGGCTAGTGTTAATTTAGGTATCTTTATCTGCATGCAATGTTCTGGGATTCACAGGAGTCTCGGGGTACACATATCGAAGGTAGTCTCTCAGTTTCCTCATTACATTTGTTTTCTTGATACTACATTTGTATACGAAAGCTCAGATATTAATTCGATTAATAACTCATTCCATTTGGCTCAAATTCTCTGCACAAATTTTCAATTTGGTTTTCTACTCAGTTTTTATATTTGCAATTTCATTTTGTATTTTCCATCACAAGAGCTGAAAATTCTGACATGAATGCATTAAATCTCCCCACCTCCTTGTGCCACCATTTCCTTAACTAGAAAAAATTGTCATCTATCCACTTTACACACGAACTTCAAGCATTTCTGTACAAAAAGTACATGATTCGGTTTTTCCCTCTGATTTTTGTATGAGCTGGGTCCTTCTTGTCAAGTAGATTTTAACTTTAGAAGCGTAAGCCACTTATTTTTTCTACCAAAACATCTGAGTGGGCTGATGAGTGCAGGTTCGATCTGCCACTCTGGACACATGGCTCCCCGAGCAGGTTGCATTTATACAGTGTAAGTGTCTTTCAAACTTAGTGCTCTATGACTGATTCATGGGTTAGTTACGCCATGTAAGATATATGATCTTGATTGCATGCAGCGATGGGAAATGAGAAAGCAAATAGTTACTGGGAAGCAGAGCTACCCCCAAACTATGATAGAGTTGGAATTGAGAATTTTATACGTGCAAAGTATGTATCTCTCTTTTCATTGTATAAACTTTTCAGTTAGTTCCATCTCATTGAATTGTCTATCTTGCTATTCATATGGACGCTGAAATCATTCTTGTGACATGACTTTTCTAGGTATGAAGAGAAGAGATGGGTTTCGAGAGGGGAAAAGGCTAGATCACCCCCTAGAGTCGAGCAGGAACGGCGGAAATCTGTGGAGAGAAGTGGACCTGGATATGAGCATGGGCACAGTAGTAGTCCTGTAAATTTGTTTGAGGAGAGGAAAACTATTCCAGCATCTAGAACAAGAAATAATGTTACTGCAACGAGGATAAATCTTCCCGTGCCTCCCCAAGGACCCGGTCAGGTACCAAACATACTTCGCAGAAGATCTGTATAGTTAAACAGCCATAAATTTAGTTACTCATCATTATTAAGAATCCGTATTCCTTGATCTTATTCAATAATCTAGGATATCAGCTATGAGATCATTATTTTTGTCAATGCATATGCTGTCGCTGCCAGATCATTATTTAACTCACTGTGTTTTTAGGGCCTCATAATCTTTCAACGTCTCTTTCTTACAGTATCCAAACGCTGGGTTTTCTGATACATGATGCTAAAAAATAACAGGTTATAAAGCCACAGCAGAAAATGGAGTCTGCAGCCGCTCCAGTGGAGACGGAGAAACAAGCAGTAAATGTTGCACCAGCATCAGATCCTCCAAAGGTGGATTTTGCTACTGATCTCTTTAACATGCTATCAATGGATGAGGCAACTCCTGCTGATGAGGCAACTCCTGCCGATGATAACTCATGGGCTGGCTTTCAGTGTATGTATCTATCTAGCATGTGCATAATTTAACATTGTGGCACATTTTTCCTATCCTTGTTAACTTTATGTTAATTGTTCTTCTCTTGAAAATGCTTTGGAGTAATATACTAATTTCTGATCCTAAAATTGTAGCTGCTGGAAGTGGTCAAACGGCAGAGAAAATTGTCACAGCGAAGCCTGCTGAGAGCAGTTCTCCTCCAGCTCCAGCTACTGGGATTGAGGATTTGTTTAAAGACACACCTAATTTTACAACCCAACAAGCACCAAAAGATGTGAAAAACGATATCATGAGCTTGTTTGAGAAGGTAAATTATTAGTCAATTATATACGCTTCTCAGATTCACTGCTTTGTTGGGTCAACCTTTCTATTAATATTCAGCTTTCCAAGTTTCCTTTCTGTATCGTTATTTAACTTACAATTACAAATATAGCGAATGATATGATTTGTGTTTTGTTATCACATGCTATGATTTCTTCAACACTGGACATTTAGAACACCAGACCAGATTCAAGTGATATAACTCTGTGTGTTCTATTTGTTTACAGACGAATATAGTATCGCCTTTTGCCATGCATCAGCAACAGGTTGCTATGCTCGCTCAGCAGCAAGCCCTTTACATGGCTGCAGCGAAAGCTGCTGGAGGCACTCCAAACGGCGTGAATCAACAAGCTATTGCTAATGCTCTTAACGTAGCTTCTGCAAATTGGTCAAACACCGGTGGCTACCAGATCCCCGGAATGACTAACCCCGTAGGCGGTCAAGCTGATCTTCAGAAACTTATGCAAGTAAGATCTCCCCTTTACTTTTTTTTAGCAAAATCAATATTACCATTGACCAAGTTCTTGCAAAATTCTCACTAATTCTTGCTCTCTGTTACATCGCCATAATTTTAGAACATGAATATGAACGCAAACATGAACATGAGACCCGCACAACCGCAAGAGACCACTCTACAATACCCATCATCCAGGTATGCACACAAAACTGCATCTCTTTTTGTTTTTTTCTGAAAACATCGAATTGTTAAACGGTACCCTTTCCTTCCGTCTGTGTGTCTCGTCTGAATATATTATACAAACCACATTCGTATTAATATGTCCCGTCTGGTGAAAGAGTGCTTTCTTGTTTTCATGAACACCACTGTGTCAAGTCCAGTTTGTGACATCTTGTTATAGGTTATCAAAGTGCTTAACCTAACTCTCATATGATCTTTTGGTTGTTACTACTAATGCAGTTTCTACACGATGGGCCAAGCTAATCAAGTAAACGGTATGACCCCAAACCCAACCGGTAAACCTCAGTCGTCATCCGCAACACAACCAACAAGCACCACACCATCTTCACAATCGGGCAAAGACTTTGATTTCTCTTCCTTGATGGATGGAATGTTCACAAAACATTGATCAAAGAGAGAGACTTTTCTGAATTTGCCTTTCATCTTTGTTAAATTTGAAGAACCAAAAGAATATATATACAATCATCTCTGGACAGTTTCTCTGTTAAACATTTTTTTTTCCCTATGGAACTGTGTTGTAGCCGGGCTTTGATTTATGATTTTACTCGATTGTCGAAAAATTAATAGATGTAATTCTTGAGAAGAAAGTAAAATGATAATTTTTTTTTTTTTTTTGGTGCAAAGAAAAATGAGATTTATCCATGTGAATGTGAGTATGTATGGCCGCTACAAAACGTGGATTGTTCTCCTCCACTTAAGCCTTTGAAAGAAAACAAATTAATCGACCTTTATTGGTAAGATCAATAAAGGCGACGTGTTGATATTGAACTTGTTTCTTCATTTCTTGTTATGGACGGCTGTTTTAGCGTTTAAAAGGTTTGAGTTTGGCATTGTCGGGCTTTCGGTCAAATGGCTTTAAGCTCATTCTCCTCCTTCACCACAATTTTATGTACCTCCCTCCTACTCGCCAACCTTTGTTTACCTTTTTCGTTACTAGATGTTTTATTAGAAAGAATTCGTGAACCAATCCAATTCTAGATAAGCTTTTAAAAGAGTTCTATGCAAGTAATCCGTATACTACACTTTATCATATTTAAAAAGATTGATAAATGTTTGTTGTAATTGTAAAATGTAAACTATAACTACAAGAAGCAAAACTGTAAAATCAATGGTGATGATAAACTAAATATGTAAATACCATTTCTTTAAATCCTCGCTTGATCAAAGTTAAAGTTGTACTTGTACACTACATTCTATTTGTTAATATTATTTTCTTGCATTTTTTGTTTTCTTTTACACGTCTATCGTCCTTGATCTAATACAACAACACCACGTCGGACTTTAGCCTTTAGTCATTTGGTTATTAAAACAAAAATACCATGTCGGACTTGTACCGACCTTAGGACAGAAGTTTGAAGTTTAAGTTCTATTATAGTATATAGAGGATATAGCCAATATTTATGATGCATAAGAAGATCAATCAGTATCACGAACAAAAATCCAAAATGGTCGGTAGAATTTTGTTGTGCTTGTTGACCCGTAATGCGATGTATATCTTTCATGAGTTTGAATTGTCAAATCAAATCTACTATTAATATAAGCACTAATATGCAAACAAAATTGAACGCTTAGAATTGAGATTGATATATACGTACACATCCATCTCAATTATTTTATTTTACATCTGCATGTCCTTATCTAAAGCATTATTCACATACATCATAATTCGCATTCTCACTCTGACTTTCAACTATTAATTTTACAATGTCAATGAAAAATGGCCTACACAACCTAAAAATCCTAGCTCAACAGTAACTACTTATATTTTTATTTGTTTTGCTAAAAACCATAAATTTTCTCAAATTATATAATTTTACAATAAGAAACCAAAAATTGAGATTTCTATTTTTACATATCCTCAAATTAATACTAAAAATACATAAAATTAAGACTCAAACTTTATCCCCACAAAAAAAAAACTTAAGACAATCGACTAAAATTTTGTTGCGAATTGATAAAAAAACAAAAACCAAAGGTACGACTTGGTACGTAGGTGGTAGATTCTCGTATCTCTCAATTCTCTAATCACACACAATGCATAAAATATGTACTTCTATTGTCAAAAATCTTGTTGGAAATGTTAGGCAAGCTTATATTATAAGTTTACAACTTCAAACAAAAGCATCAAATCCAAACTGCCACGTGTCACTCAGATAAGCCTCCATCACGATACCCTCAATAAATAGGCCCACTTATGATTCTATTAAAAAGCCCACACAAACACGGACCACATTTTAAAATTCACCATTTCTCTATATAAATACACACACTTCTCAATCTTTCTTTATTTAATTTTTGTAGATAAGAACCACCACCGAACTTACAAATTTGAAATTCCCAAAGCAAACCAATTCTCTCAATGCCTCTTCTTCTCCCTACCTCTTCCTTCAAAACGACAGCCACCGTCGTAATCGCCGGCGTTTTATCCGTTGCAACAGCGGTGATTCTCACCGTACCTTCCGTTTCCCATTTCGTGGTCTCTTGCTTTCCGATTATTTACGATAACACCGTCTTCCTTGTAAAACCACCGTATCTTTACTTAGTCATCAACTGTATCATCGTCTGCATCGTCGCTACTTCTAAACTCACTCATAAATCGTCCTCCGTCGATGGTTCTGAGATCTCTGAAGTAGTAACTCCGGTTTTGGTACCGGTTCAGTTACCTTCTGATATCGATACCGGTTATTTAAACGTCGTTCATGTGGTTTCTGATTATACCGGATTTGTTGAGAAAATCGATGACGTGTCGATTAATCCAACGGTGGAGGATGTCCGGAAGTTTCCAGAAGTTCAGGAGGCGGAGAAGTCAAAACCGAGTAGCGATTCGCCGGAACCGGAGACGGAGAAGCCAAAACTGAAGAATGATTCGCCGGAGATTGCGATTTTGAAGCATAGTACGAGAAAACCGCCGAGATTTAATCAGCAAAAATCTCTTAAATCTAATTCAGAAGGTAAAAATATTAAAATATGAATTTATGTGAAGGGCAAAATCGTAAATTGACGGAGGGACTGTCACCGTTTATATACAGGTGGAAATAAAAAGACGGCGTTGGGAGTAACAAAGCCACCGAGGAGACAAGACACGCTGGAGACGACGTGGAAGAAGATAACGGAAGGACGTTCAACGCCGTTAACTAAGCACTTGACTAAATCTGACACGTGGCAAGAAAGAGCTCACGTGCAAAGCTCACCAGAAAATAAAGAGGAGAAGATGACCAAGTCCGAGAATTTAAATGACATTAATGCCCCTACGGAGGAGGAGGAGGAGAAGGAGAAGTCGGTGTTGAAACGCGAGCCGTCGCCGGGACAGGAGGAGTTGAATCGGCGCGTGGAAGCGTTTATTAAGAAGTTTAACGAAGAGATGAGATTGCAAAGATTAGAATCTTTGGCTAAATATAATGAAATGGTAAATGGAGGGACTCGTTTGTAAATTTTGGAGTTTTTGTTTAGGTGTCGGTGAAGGAGAAAATGACGGCACAGTCGCAAAAGTTGACTTGACTCTTTTTTAGAACCACTTAAGAGTTTTTTTTCCTTCTTCCAGGAACAAAATTTCAAGATACAATGGAAACAAAATCACGTTAATCGTGTGGTTACAAATGAAGGATTATCTGTAAACAGTAGTGACTAGTGTTCGAATCTGTGTTTTCTTTTGTAATTTTACATTATAGACAATATTATTTATTTACCATTACAAACACTTATGTTTTTGGCAGAAGAAATGAGTAATGTAGTTTTATTTGTACAAATACTTACATGACCATAGTAGCAGCAGGAAAAAGCCTATCCAAGAAAGTATATAAACCTCCTCCAAGTAGAAGAGCACCACTGAACCAAAACATAGGAAAAAAATGAAACAGAGATTTAGTGAATCAACAATATGAAAATCATTTAGCTTTTAGGATGCCTCTAAAATACCTTATGGGGTTGATCCATGCAGAGACCTTTCGCAAGGAAAGTAAGCTCTGCAGAAAATATCAAGTCACAGTAAATATGCAGATTTTTACTAATTCATCAGTCATCACAAAACTTTTTATAACTTTAACTTGGAAATTTTGCAGCTCAGTGTTTGGTGAATAAAGAAGTGAATTGATACCTGTAAAGCTCCGGCGAAAGAAGCAGCCACGATGAGTGGAGCAACGTAACCTGTTGTATAGGTTAAGAGTAAGCTTCCACCAATTACTGGATCCTGTGTTTCACAACCATTGCATTTTCCATATCAGCGTTTTGTTAAACCCGATCTTAAAACTTAATAACAAAGCAGAAAAGTTAACTAGTTCTCATATTCATACTTGAGATGATAAAATTTCAAATGGAAGGAGACAAAGGGAATTACCCTGGAAGTAGCTACGTAGCCAAGAAGGGTGGCTAGAACTGGAGTACTACAAGGTGATGCAGCAAGTGCGAATGTGAGACCGGCTAGATACGCTTGTACACCTAACAAACATTTTGTTAACAAAGTGTTAGAAACTGCAAAAGAAAAGTTATAGACAGTTTGATCTCCAAAAACACACAAAAGAATTTTTCTTAGAAGGATTACTAGATGGGAAGTTTGCTGCTGCAGCACGAGGATCAAAGTTGTTAAAGAAAGATGGAAGCTGAAGTTCGATTATCTGTATGAAGAGAGGAAATACATTATGTTAGACATGGCCATTCCAATTGATGCAAAAATGAGTAGGAAAGTGATTGTAACAAAATTACCTCAAGGAGATTGAGACCCATTACAATAGCCAGGCCAGATGCAGCTACTGGTAATCCTTGTCCTATTTGTCCATAGGCTTTTCCAGCAAAAGAAGCTACTATCCCAAGAAGTGCTAAGGTAGTAGCTAATCCCAGTGCGAAAGCAACTGTATCTCCAATAACCTAAATGCATGGAGAACTGAAAGGTCACTAAAATACTACTATAATTGTGAATAAAAAAATGATGCATTTGATAGGGACTGAGAACTGTTCCTCTGAGGGAGCTTTGATTTGTTTAAACTTTAACTTCTTTTACATTTTTTATACTGCAATAACAATGATCCAACCAACTCCTAATTATCTAGAAATCTGATCTGAAGAGCCACTAACCTGCCCTCTGCTTTTGCCAGACCCAAATGCACCTATATGTTACAGCCATATTAAGGACAGGTGAAGAAAGAATTAGAACATCAAACTAAGATTCTAAAATAACTTGTGAGAAATGCAAAATCTTGAGATAAGTTATCATACCAATATAACCAAGTGTCAAAGGCAGAACACTGAGTGTACATGGAGACAGACTTGTCACAAGGCCTGCCCCAAATATTACTGCCAAACTACAACAGGGATAAATTAGCAGGAAAGCCAGAGAACTCGATAATCAAACTCTCAGAGATGCGCGTATTTAGAGAGAACCCGAGAAACAAACCTTGTTACACTAAGAGCTGATAGCTGATCTTGAACAGCTTCGTTAGCTTGTTGGTTAGCTGAATACAAGAAGTTTCCCACCGAATCTCCAAGGCTTCCTTCAGCCAAAATGTAAATGGAAGTGGCTTGATCCTGTCTTAAGGGGAAATTAGTATCTGATTTTACAAGGAAACAGCAAATAGATAATGGTCGAAAGCAGGAGCATCTCAAGGCAGAAAAGCATAATCAGTTCCAAACAAAAATATTGAGATCTATAACCCATAAACAAGATCCACAGAGAAAAGAAAAAAAATAAAAACACAACTTTAGACATTCTCAATAAACTACTCAGGTTAAGATGTGATTGTGAAACATAATTGAACTAGACTACAATAACAGAAACAAAATGAAGAAATCACAAAAGTATAGAAACAATCTAATAAGATGAAAATCCATGATTAAACCTTACCAAGACAATCATCTTCAAGTCTGCGGCCTTTGCTGAGCTAAGAGTTACCAAGTTTGCCACTGGAAAAATCGAAGTGTTCATAATCAGATGAATTTAGACTCAGCATCATTAATAGTGCTTTCTATTACAGATGTAAAAAGGAGAAAAAAACTAGATTTTGTTCATCTTTTTCGATAGAATGATCGAAGATTAAGAAACTACACAATTCCCCCCTAAATAAAGATGTCCATAAAGACATAAAATAAGAGGTTATAAGAGAGTAACATTACCTCCTAAACCACTAGCAAGCATCGCAAGTTTCATACTTTTACCCTCTTTCCTCTGTAAAGAAACAACATCAGACCCTAAACGTGTCTCTCTCTCAAGCTCACAGTGCTTGGCAGCACGAACCCATCTTTTCTCTGTAGTCCATAGACAAAAAAAAAAATAACCAATGACCCAATAAGAGAACAAGGAAGAAGATAACTAGCAAGTGGTGGTTATAAGGACAACGAGACTTATGAGACCCAATTTCAAAATTTTCCAAAGCGATTATTCATATCATGATTCATGATCACAATCAGAATCCTAAACACGCAAATTCCAACACTAATACAAACAACTAAGAACTATGTGAACATCTTCAATCAAAATTTCCCAAGGATGATTTATTACTCTACCTTTCTACGGTTTATCATTTTGCTGAATTTCTCCTTTTAAGTTTTCTTAACAGTAAAAATCGAATCAGAAGAAAAACAACAACTCACCACCACCGCGAGTGAGTCTGCAGCTAGAGAATCCCCCGACGAAACCACCGGTGAGGCATCGGTTCACACTTAGGTTCATGGCTCTCCAGATAAGTGTCCGTCGTCTAACGGTTCTCTCGCTTCACAGTCTTTTCTAATTTTCGCCAACTGTACTTGACATACCAATGGGCTGAATCTTTTAAGCCTACAGGCCCACTATACTAATTATCTTTTCTAATTTTCGCTAACTATTAATTGATATAACTAATGGGCTGAATCTTTTAAGCCTAAAGGCCCACTATACTCATTATCTTTCTTTTTTTTCCTTTTTAATTACTTGTGAACTTAACTTATACAATTAATGATTGGAGTGTAGAAAGTCACACTATTGTATTAATCTGCTAACCAAATTGGTAAATACAAAGTTTCAGAATAGTAGGGAGTACTAGAAGATCCCATTCGGGCTAATCGATTAATAGCGATCTTTAGCAGTTCTTCGCATTTAACGGAAGCATATATATAGCTTCAAGTCTTGTGGAACAAAATTCTATATCACAACCATATGGTTCAGTTCCTACATTAATTTCTTCTCCCACCAAATGGTGGTGTTGACCACATCAGTCGCCTTCGAACTCAACTCTGCTAAAGGTCTTAGTCTCTTAGAGAACCCTTTCTCATCTCGTACGGTACCAACCAGCACCGTGTTATGCTATCAATACTCGAAAAAGCTGCATCGTAGTTACATTTAACCCATCCCTCTCTCGGCCGAGTCCGGTACATGGGATTCAAAGGTTTATTAGCTAAAATGGGTTTACGTTCTCAAGGGAGCAATCGAACACTAATGCTAGTTTAGACCATCTAAATATTTACATGGTACTAATCTTTTGTTTACAAGCTCATTAAACTACCAAAACAACAGTTAATTAGAAAATGCGTAGATATTTTTTTATTTTTTGGGGTTAAATTTGACTATTGTAAATTGTAATTAATATCACCTACATCGCACAATGAGTGGGCTAGTGAGTAGTGTGAAATTTTAAAAGCATAAACTCAATTGTCATCTTATATTTAGCTTGATTTTACCAAACTTTTCAACAAAACCAATTTTATAAAAGACACTTTGGCCCACTTTTTAGGTTTATACTTTCTAGCCAACATTCACTCACTCGTATTAAAATCAAAAGTTGTGGTCGACACTGGTTCGTGGGGACAATCTTAAGATATGCATGGATTTTAAAGAAACTCTTATCCAACATTTAAATTATTTAAATGGAACGGTACAGATGACAATTACATGTTTCTTCCCTTATTCAGACGTCGCTTCAATTCATAAAGTTCAATAATCGTGATTAATTATTTGATATAAAGATCTAACGAATTTCTTTTTATCGAGCTAGAAACTATCGCTAAAATCTTGAACTCACATGTAGCATGTGATCATAGCTATACCAAATTTTTAATGAGCATATGATACGTATAACTTAATTCATAATTTCCATTAGAATATGATTTTTTTTTGTAACCATTCGTTCTTTGAAATAATTGATCTGCTTGGGAATATCACTGATAGTTTAATTGTCTGCTTTAAATAAAATTTAAAACATTTTTGGTCGTTTTGTGTGGTTAGCCTAGTAGATCAATCTTTAAGACGTTGATTCAAGTCCTGTTTGCTGTGTCCTCTATGCACATATATCGACTACAGTTGGCATGCAATTACTACAAGTCCACAACGAGTCAAAGTTTTGATCCACACCGATAAATTTGATACTTAGGCGACCTGGCGAATTACGTTTTCTCTCGTACTTCTAATACAAGCACTACAACAACAAAACAAGAAAAAAGACAGAAGCATGTTTTTTAAGAGAAAAAGTAAAAGAAGAAGAATGTCAGAGACTTTAGGACAAACGGACTGGGGAATGGGGATAGACATGAAGAGACATGAGTGTAAATGGGGACATTCCATTGTGGATATGTCAGAAAAATTAATAAATTAAGATATTACTCGCACACTCTCTCCATCATGTTCAATGATGCTAAGCATTTAACTCATCGCATCGCATGTCTACATTTTTAAGGAAAATAAACAAAAAGTATATAATTGTCTATAGTTAGAACTAGAGAAATCTTACAATGTTAAAAATATATCTTACAATGTTGAAATTTGAAAAAAAAAATTGATTTGGTGTAATATTTTGTATTATATATGGCCATTAATTCTAACCAATCACTAAATTAAGTAGGAGTGTATAAAGTTTTAAGCGGGTAGAAATTCACAAAAAATTTAGAAATTTGACTTTTCTGATGAAATGTTTTATAAAGTTTGACTTTTCTTGCATAAAATATCAAAATACGCTTAGAAAAAGATGCATATATATTTGCTGCCATCGATAGTTGGTAAGAAAATGATTTAATCTACAAATTTTCGAATTAATAAAAAGTAACTTTGTAATGTTTTTTTCAAATAAATTTTGAGTCTTTTCTACTGCGATTTCAATCATTTTAGACTAATTGTAGATGTTCTAAAATGAAATTCCAAACTTTTTGGACTTCGGAAGATTAATTTGAGTTTCGGTATATGATTTTCTCCGGTTAACAAAATAAAAAAATACCGATCGAAATTAAAATGAAAACATCATTATGAACAAAAACCATAAGTTAAGCGAAGTGGTGTACCTCAATTGCGGATTACGGTCGTTGATGTTATAAATTGATAACTATTGAATGCATTAAGCCTGATATAGTGATATTTAATGTGTTCCTACGTAAGAATACCTGATAAGAAAATGCAAATTTGTACAAGCCACATTAAAAATCACGAGTATTATGTACATTCATAATCACGTACCTTAAGCGAACACATTGAATTGGACCGCAAACATCAAAAGTAGTCTACTTTAACCTAAGAAAAATAATATATACTCCAAATCAAAAGTAAACATCGAATGTAGACATGCTTTAAAAGATTTTAACATTGTGATTATGAAATGATCTTATTAAAATACTTACGGGTGCGTGTAGAATAATTACCCGCACCGAGATCATTTTATATCAAATGAGCCATATTTGCATACCCTTGAGATCGGCGAGTATTGACGTGAACTAATCATTGTTTTTTTTTGTTTGATAAAAGATTTCCAATCTAATCATTGTTAATTTTGATTGAAATCATGTTTAACACTCAACTAGTCTACATAACAGTGTATTTGATTACAGTGATAAGGACTCACCAGCGGAATCAAAGTCTATGATTCATTAAAAGTTACAACTTTTATATAACCAATCATCTACAAGTAATTTTAAAATAACCAAATAATCTTAGTCTAGTCTAGTTATCTTTCCTACACGTAGTGGATTTAGGTCATAAATTGATTTTTTTTACTAGACGTATCTCTTCTTTTCTTTCTTTGGTTACTAGATTTTGACTTGAAGTTGAAGTTCTATGATTAAATAAGAATAATAACGAATTGACGATCATATTATCTCTATCTAAAAAAATTATCTATTTTTAGTAGTTGGATCTACTTGACCTCGCATCAAATTAGCTCCAAAATTATGTCGCTTGCAATTTAAAGAACATCTAGTGAGAATTGATCAGAATACTTAAATATACTGTGTCGATATTCTAATTTATTTTTCAATCAATGTATTTACAACATTCACAGTTTCACAATGCATTTTCCATCTTTTAAACAATTTCTTTTTATTTCTAACTAAATTTTAAGAAATTATATAGCTACAAATTAATTAGAATCTATTCTTCTTTTTTTTTTGATAAAGGAAAACGTATATTTGGTTTTAAATGTCAAGCACATTAAAACAAACAATTCGTGGCATGAACAAATTAAAAGGGTAACCAATTAATGTATTACTAGTATTGTTTTGTTGTCGATTGGTCTTAACTTTATAAAGCTCCAAATGGAAAAAGACTGCGAGACCTTATTTGTTCAGCCGGATTGTATTGTTGACTCGCTCTTACGCCTTTTTAGCTAATTAAGTGCCTTTTATTCGCTAGATTAGCGGAAGCCACGACTACTTTATTCATTTTCTATTTACATTACTTTATCAATAGTTTCTATGATAAAACTGAAATTTACAAACTCGTGTATCCGTCACATGATTTATTTAATGTGTATTTGGAAGGTCTTTATTCGGGCGTCGAAGTATAGAATGATAGGGCAGTTATATTTCGAAGAAAGATTGCATTTGTGGATAGCTATACCAGCTACTAATATCGAATCTACTAGTCACTGATAAAATTTTTTTTACTGGAAGATTTATAAAATACACAAAAGATGTTACAATGTGAGTACAAAGTCGGATAAACCGAAAACAAAGCCCGATGTTTTACGGGAAAACAACGCCCTAAAGTTCTAAGAAAAACCAAACCGAGGGCAAAATTTTAAAGTCTCAAAAACTATATAATACTAAATTATTGCAAGAAAATAAAGACTTTCATTTCTTACCAAACTACAATGTAAAAAAAAACTTTATACTAGAGCTAGCCACGAAGGAAATGACGTTAAATTTTAGAATACTTGCTAATTCGATTTGATCTTTATGATAAAAAAAATATTAGTATATGTATTCGACTCGGAAATAATATATGATACACGATATCCAATATTTAACTTTCATATATATAAGGATAATAGAATTATGGTATTGTTTACCAAATTCGAAAACTACTTATATATACCTTCTTTAAGATGGATACAATTTGCATAACATATCGAAGACGGATAAAGGATAAAAGTACCCAAACCCTACTAGAGTTCGTGGAGAAGAATTGAAAGGGGGTAGTTGGAACTGAGACATTAACGTGAGCGCCTTGATTGAGAGATATTATCGTCATTTTCGATCAACCAAAGCCTTAACGACCAGTCTTCCCTCCTCCAACGTGTCACGTTCTATATCAAATGCTTTTGACTTTTGTCCATTTGTGGATCTATTTTAATTAATATTAAGGCAACGTCTATTCCTGTTCACTAAATTAGTACATTTGTTTTCATTTTCAAATTTTAAATAACCTTAGAGCTAGTTTGAACTTTGTTGACAAAAATTAAATAAAAGATATATATAACGATTTTAAAATGTAAAACAAAGTAAGTGGAGACACACATA